CAGACCTGAATACTGTTTTAAACACAATATTTATATTTTTAATGATAACTCATGTATCTAACCACATTCAGTCACATTCATATATATACCTACATCCAGTCACAGTCGTGTATCTATCCACATTCAATCATTGTATCCTACTTGTCTGTAGATCTGACCATCTGCGATCCATCTTGTACTTGAGTTCTTTTGGGAAGTTGGTCACGACCAATGTGGTAGTTACCACTTTCTGATATACTTAAGAAATAATAATTTGCAAACAGGGCATTGTTTAAAGATGGAAATGAGCGAGGTAGGTTGGGAAACATAGGAAAAATAAAGATTGCAGCTTATATATATATATATATATATATATATATATATATATATATATATATATATATATATATATATATATATATATATATATATATATATATATATAGGTTGAATTAGCCTTCCCCTATTAAATCAGTATTAAATTTTGTCCGGAAATCATTGGCAAGCACTTACAAAAATCTGAAATACATTGGCCGAAACATTCTCCAAAACGTGCTCACAATGGAGCTATTTTGAAAGCTTCCGCCATGTCAAAAACTTGAAAATTCCTTACATTTCAGATTTGCTAATGCTAAAAATTACAAGAACATTTTGCTGATCGAGCCCTGACATTTCGGCATGACCAGATTATATCCCATATCAGCTTATGAAACACCTAGATTTACAGCTCTCAACAAATATTAAAAACATTCAGTCTTATTTTGGGAAAATGGCGATTTATCGCAGTCATGACGAGAGGTAACAGTGAGATCAGTACTAAAATTGGAATGGACCATAATGAGCCTTTCACTCATCGTCCTATATCACTACGGAACTGTATTTACCAAACCAAGGAACGAAAACAAATCTCAGACTCGTCTGGTGTTTTGAATTCAACAATCTACTAGCAGACCTTTAATGTAGACATTAATGCAAAAGAATAAACATGGTCATCTCGTCTGACTTTAGGCATTTATTGGAAAGATAAGCCGTCATAAAGATAAACTATACACTTCTCATCCCTTCGGACTTGGTGAAAGCTTATTTCACTACAAGAAAATACAGCATTATAAAGGACCTATTCACCCTTAGGTCTTCCAAACTTTCTTTCCACTTTAAAAAAAAAATAAAAGAACCTTCAGAGTTTATGTAGTATTAACCTTTCTATGGGATATGGGTGTACCTCAGGGCAGCATTTTGTTAGTCATCCTTTTCAATGCAAAAATGAAAATATTGTGAAATGCTCTTAAACAAGTAATGTCTGCTCAATGTATGTCGACGACTTTTTGATTTGATGTATACTGAAAGTCATCCACAGATATTCTTAAAGATCATAAATAAACGGAAGAAAGAGTTTAAATTAACGAAGTCTAATAAGGTTTGCATGTGTATCTGCCGAATACAAATAATTCCTGATGACGCAAAACTTTATCTTAATGGGTTTCTTATGAAGGAGACAATATTTGTATGACCTATTTGTGTTATCATAAACTAACTTTCTTTCGCGCATTAACATACCCCATAAATAAATAACATCAAAAAGCCATGTTTTAAAACGCTTGTGGCAAACCCAGATTGTGTAGCAGACCGGACAGTCTTTCTCTAGTTTAAGTTATACATGATTTTAGTAAGAGTTCAACTTGACTATGTCTCGATGGTTTATGGATCGGCTAGTAAATTATACTAATTTACAAATGGAATATATATCAGATATACTCAGAGACTTACATATTTAGAACTTCCCATCCAGAAAGCTTCTCTGGTAAGGGAAATGAACCATCCCAATCTCACAAGGTTGACATCGACGTTTAGTGTCTTACCAAACTATCTCTACTACCAACTTATGTTCCAATCTAACACTCACATGATGTCTCTAGGTCCAATTAGTAAACACAGTATGCTTAGCAACAAAATTTAATTAAACCTCTTGGCATTTTAGTTACCCTTACCAGGAATTTCGGCATTTTAATTAGCCTTCACCAGGAATATCGGCATTTTAATAAGCCCTCACCGAGAAAGCAAATGTTGGAAATACTTAAACATTCTATGCTCAAAACGCACAACCTTCGTTTTAACTCCCTCCCCATAACATTTGCTATTTGCCAGTTTATAGGGTCCTCAACAAATCTTCTGGTTTTTCTGAGTAAATTCAACGACATTAACTCGACATCCCATTATACAGACGGTTCAAAGTATGCAAAGTTCAAGCTGTCGTTGCAGTACCCAGTTACACCATCTAAATCGGGTTACCGGACAAGCGTCCATTTTAGCCGATACAGTCTTACTAAATTATTTGAACTGCTCTGAAAACACTGAAAAAATCCACATGTAATCATCACCTGATATTCTAGAGGTCAGGATAGTTTTAATGTTGGCTTACCATCAGGCGCTGTTTAAATTATTGTATTAAAATTATTAGGGAAAAAAATGTGGTTAGTTTAGATATATAGTAAGCTTCAAGTTTTTCCATCTACTTGAAGTTTATAGCAAATTTATTTTCAAAAATTGTATTTAAAAAATGGGCATATTGAGTAATTAGGCTTTAGTAAGAAGCTTGTCATCGATTGTCTGTCAATATTGAATGAATGATTCCATTTAAATTGTTTTCGGAACATAAATAGTTGCAGATGAGCTGTGCGATTTTTATTTTTCCTCTTTGCCTCATTTTTGGGAATTTCTTTTGAACAGTTCTCGAAAAAAGTATTTTTTTTTCAGTCGAGTGGTTGCTGTCGCGTCTTTCCGAAAATTAAAATTCACTGTTTGTGAATGTGCGCAGCTCTAAAAAAATTGTGCAAATATCTGCATTTTGTCTAGCTACATACATACATACATACATACATACATACATACATACATACATACATACATACATACATACATACATACATACATACATACATACATACATACATACATACATAACACACACACACACACACACACACATACATACATACATACATACATACATACATACATACATACATACATACATACATACATACATACATACATACATACATACATACATACCTACATACATACATACATACTTGACAGACAGACAGACATGTGTGCATACGTACGTACGTGCGTGCATACATAATGCTTTATTATTATTTTTTCCTTGAAAAATGGTTCGAAAATTTATTGCAAGGTTTTTCCTGCGAATTTACCAGCGTGTCTCGTTTAATTTTTATTCCTCCAGCTCATTTTGATTAATTTCTTTTGAAAATATTCTATAAGGTTGATATTTTGACAAGTTAAGTGTCTGTGTTATTATTTCATTCATAAATATCTATAAGGACTGCATTGAATTGTTGTTGTCTAAATCAGAGATTATGAAAATGTGCAATAAAGTGTTTCCTCTCTTTAATGGCTTTTTTTTTGTAATGAGTCTTTTCAGATTCGTTTGAAACTTTTACGACGTACATGCATACAACAGTTTCTAGAAAGTGTTTTAAATCCGGTTACTTTTATTTAAATTATTTTGTTTCTATTTACAAGATATAATGCAGACAATAAGAACAGACTGCACTGGGTTTTTCTAACATAAAGAGCTTTAAACTTTCACAAGTTAGAACAAAATTTGACACTTGGACTACAAGAATCTGTCAAATGAATATGTGCGTAACTGCATTTCCGAAGGTCAGAAATTGAAGACGTAAAAGAGCCCTATATACTTAGATTTGGTTGTTTGAAATATAAAAACACGTGGAGGTTCAAAGTGCGGTTTCGTGTCGAGTTGGAAAACACCGACAGTGATAAATGAGTAGTACATAGGTGCTAGAGTTTAGTATGTATTTCATCACGAGATGCTGAAATCTATCCGCTTGTGAAAAAGTGATACTGCGACAGTGGCGATACAATAGGGGGCAGGGGCCAGTTTTTATGTACAAATTTAATGCTGCAATCAGTGACCTAGTACAAAAAAATTCATAAAAATCAAATACACAAGTGAGGTCAAGAATGTCCATATTTTGAGATACCTATATTAAAACGAAGCATAAAAATATTATCCACTTGACCAGAGAAGTCAGTGGCAGTTCATAGCAGAAGAAGTTTATGCACCCCAACCCCAAATTTATACCTGCAATTTTCATGTTCGAAGGTCATTTTCGACGCCATGTGGTGCTCACAGTGCAAACACAAGCCCTTTTCCTAGATGACAATTCTGCAATACAGTGTGTACTAAACAGGCTGATGCAGTTGAAAATAGTTGTCATCCAAGCCGTTTTTTAGATATTCTCCTTGCCCCAAATCCAAGTGTTTACTGCTATGGGAGGCTAGCTCTTTTTCCTAGCCAACTATTGGTATTTCACTATCAACATATCGCATATGGAAGGTGAACATGCCTGACATCAATTTCAAGAACAACACAAGCCCGAAACACCTAGTTCACAAATATATCCATATCTTTAATTAGTAGACAATAATTGCTGAAAAAGTCACACCATTGTCTTAAGTTAAGAAATTTGCCAGGGGCCATGCCACCAAAGTTATTGCTACTGAGTAGATATCGTTCTTGGACCTACTGTCATTCCCAATATAGGAAATATTATTTGCCCTTATGTTTATAACATTTCTTTATTTTGGCTTAATTCATTTTCCTCTTCTTCTTCTTCTTCTTCTTCTTCTTCTTCTTCTCTCTCTCTCTCTCTCTCTCTCTCTCTCTCTCTCTCTCTCTCTCTCTCTCTCTCTCTCTCTCTCTCTCTCTCTCTCTCTCCATCAGGGTAGACAAACATAAAAATATTACAACAGTTTTATGTACATTTATGTAATCAATGAGGAGCCATTAAAATGCATGAAAACAAACCCCAAACAAGAACATATAGTTTTAAGTATTAAGTTATTTAAAATATTATTACGCCTGGAAAAATCAAATCTAAAACAAAGAAAATATTGACCTTCTTTTTATTCGCTATTCAGTGTAATTCATGTTACATGTCTACAACAAACGCTGAAAGATTTTTAGCACCAAACACTCCGGTAGCCTAGTGGTTAGAGCGTTTGCCTCAGGTGCAGGAGGTCGCGGGTTCGAACCCTGGCTGAGTCATACCAAAGACGTTAAAAAAATTGTACTAACAGCTGCCCCGCTTGGCGCTCAGAATTAAGAGGTTAGTGTTAGGACTGGTTGGCCTGGTGTCAGGATAATGCGACTGGGTGGGACATCATGCCACATGTCTGCGGCATGATGCCCCAGTACTAGACATCACTATAAACTATCACACTGCAGACATCGTAGAGATATGACTGAATAACTGTTAAAGCTACGTTAAAAATCTAAATCACACACATACACACGCACACTCACACAACAAATTCTGGATTAAATATAATTAAATACAAGGCTAAGATTGTTTAATTATTTATTTTGCTTCGCACCAAACTCATCATATTTTAAAACTATGGCGAATTCGTAGATAGATCAGTGTTCATTATGAACCGAAATTAAAGTTACGATCGAAATCAAGGTGTATCGTATCGTACATACTAGACTGCAAGCTGTTTTGAAGTCTGTCTGACCGCTGATTCTATCACCTACCGCAACAATATTCACTATACCAATCTATGCAAGAAATCATTACACTTTTCAAGTGAAAATATCCTTTTATTTAACAAAATACACAATTTGAAAACTTGCATGTAAGAGTAACATTTGTATAAATAGAGTGACCTAAATTATTGTAAAATTTAAGAATTTGTTTTTAACATTGTCCGTAACAGAGCAGTTAGCTGCATTCACACAGAATGGGAAAAATACTTGCACAAAACTCCTCGTACCAAAACTAATTGTCAAAATTAAATTGTGAAATTTCTTGTGTGTCTGACTTTTCAAAATGTATATTCACATACTCACATTTTTTTAGATTATTCCAATTTGTGTCACATATGTATGTATGCAATACAAAACCGAACTCAATATTGTAAATATTTGAAAGAATTCATGGTTAAAATTACACACTGCAGAATAAATTTCTGATGTCAGGTTTTGGACTTGTGTAACAATAAACGGAGAATATATATATATATATATATATATATATATATATATATATATATATATATATATATATATATATATATATATATATATATATATATATATATATATAAAGAATACAAATCATATGGCGAATAACAACCCTTTCAAGCGTCGTACTGGATCCACCAAGGGATCACGTGTGTCAGGGATTAATTAAAATAGATGCAATAAACTGACGACGAACAGTACGAAACTAGTAACTAACTAGCCTAAGCGCTTTCGACTCTTAATGAGTCTTTTTCAAAGGCAAATACAAAACATATATACGACAAACAAATAAACACAAAAACGTTGTGTTTGTAAACCTCTACATGGCTGTCTTCACATGTGCTAAAACTATAAATACAACCAGCTTGTATAGACTAGATGCGGAAACTGAAAACGTCGTATAATTTCTTAAAAGTCTACAAGCTAAAGCGACATCTATTTTTACTTTTTATACATATGTAACACAGATTATATCCCGGATATTTGATTCTATTCCGGTTATTCTTTATAGTAAAAATTGAAGGATAATAAGAAGATTTAGAAAAATGATAAATTCTACTAGTGCATAGTTTTCATTTTCTAGTCTTCTTGGTTTAGACCGCTTGGTTTCAATGTTCTAAGGCGGCGTATCCAGTATGATTCCTTTTCCTTCCTGGTTTCGGAACTCCAGCTGTGGTTGTTAGCAATAGCGTTAAGTATTATATCACTGAAAGTGTGGCCAGGGGAGGAGAAGTGTTCTGCGACCGGGCTTCTGTACAGCTTTTTTTGTCATCCAATCAGATCTATGAAGGTTTATTCTTTTGTGTAGCTTTTCAGTTTCTCCGACGTACTGAAGGCCACAGATCTTACATGTGATGAGATAAATCACATTCTCTGTTTTGCACGTTTTGTTTGGACCATGTATGTTTAGTTTTTCTTTAGTCACTGTGCTAGTGTATGTCTTGGTCTCTATCATATGTTGACAGGTTTTGCATCTTTTATCGCCACAGGATCCAGATTGACAGATTGATTAGGTTGGTTTTGACTAGCGATTGGCGTTAGCTTTGCCCTGACTAGGATGTCCTTTAGGTTTTCTGGTCTCCGGTAAGCTACTACAGGTTTGTTCGGAAGTATTAGGTTTAGTATGTCTGACGATTGCACGGTTGGCCAGTGGTTTGCGATGATTTTACCTACTTTGGGATTGTCTGGGTGATAGGTCAGAATAAATGGTATCCTATCAACCTTTTCTTTCTGTCCATATCTGAGTAGGTCATCACGGTTTGTTCGTTTGGTCCTTTGGATTGCCTCCGCAATCAGGTCTTTGTTGTAGCCTCGGTAAATTAAATGCCAATCGCTAGTCAAAACCAACCTATTCAATCTGGACCCTGTGGCGATAAAAGATGCAAAACCTGTCAACATATGATAGAGACCAGGACATTCACTAGCACAGTGACTAAAGAAACACTAAACATACATGGTCCAAACAAAACGTGCAAAACAGAGAATGTGATTTATCTCATCATATGTAAGATCTGTGGCCTTCAGTACGTCGGAGAAACTGAAAAGCTACACAAAAGGATAAACCTTCAAAGATCTGATTGGATGACAAAAAAGCTGTACAGAAGCCCGGTCGCAGAACACTTCTCCTCCCCTGGCCACACTTTCAGTGATATAATACTTATCGTTATTGCTAACAACCACAGCTGGAGTTCCGAAACCAGGAAGGAAAAGGAATCATACTGGATACGCCGCCTTAGAACATTGAAACCAAGCGGTCTAAACCAAGAAGACTAGAAAATGAAAACTATGCACTAGTAGAATTTAACATTTTCTAAATCTTCTTATTATCCTTCAATTTTTACTATAAGAATAACCGGTATAGAATCAAATATCCGGGATATAATCTGCGTTACATATGTACAAAAAGTAAAAATAGATGTCGCTTTGGCTTGTAGACTTTTAGGGAATTATACAACGTTTTCAGTTTCCGCAACTAGTCTATACAAGCTGGTTGTATGTATAGTTTTAGCACATGTGGAATCGGTACACAATTAATAAAATCCGGTTCAGTACCCACGAATGTAGTCCCAGTCTATTTTTAGATCACTTTTTCCGGTCTAAATTTAGTGGTGATACTAGAGTCAGATTTTGGCATTCTTGGTAAGGATTTAAAGGCAATTGTTTATTCTTTAAAATGTGAGCTTATGGTGTGGTTGTCTGTGTGTATTTCGGCGACAGTGCACATTGAGTAATAAGGTCATGGTGATGATCCGGAAGTGAATTCTGTGTTCCGTTGCCTGGTGTTTTGTTTACAATTCAGCCTCTCAAAAAAATGCAGGTCAACCCTTGACAAGAACTAAACCGTAAAGTCATCTTTGAAGGTATTTTAGATTAACATATGATTTGTATTGATTGTCACACAGTGGAAAGTTCAGTACTGAGAAACAAATGTAGAGAATATATAGTGAAATTAATTGTGTACTATGTCCTGTCAGTAAAAACTTGAAACTGATATAAAATTTTTATTATTAATGACATACACATGAAATTTTAATAGGTTATGTATATTGACTTTAAAAATATAAAAATGAAATTAAAAATAAACAAATAATTTTAATTTTAAAAATTTAAATGAAATTTAAAAAAACAATTAAAAAATAAAAATTTTCCACCAAGTATACACATATATAATATTTTTTGGGAATGATATTAAATGATATCAGCATATATATACTCCTACACCATATACAAGCTCAAATGATGGATATTTGTCAAATTTGATCAGAGAAAATATCTTTATTAGTCAAAATGAGACCCTCATTTAAAATACATGAAGACAAAATTCTACTTTGCTTTGTACCTTTAGGTCATTGAAACTATTTATTTGGGGTTCAAACAGCTAATTTATGTGTTTATGATGGGGTGACTTCCTGAGTAACACATATCTGCTTGTATAGCTATCAGTAATTGTTTATAACCATAGTTATAGGGTATTTAGTGAGAGGACAGAGATGAAGACTTTATACTAGAACCTGTTCAAGTTCTCTACAAAATCATATTAAGCTGTCAGAGAATGAAATACAGGTCAGAGGGGTAAAATATACTTTACCCAGGTATATTTACCATTGCATGTAAGAAAACAGCAAAATGATGTAAGTTGAACACAGAATGCATTCCATTTTATTGTTCAGTTTCTTTAAGATGTTGATTGATGTAGTGCGACATTGTAGCCTAGATGATATAATGGGAATTCTCATGATCCATTTTGCTTTATGCATTATTAATGACTAATAATATTTGTTATCTGACACTTTAAAGATTACATAAGTAATATTCAAACAGATTATTTGAATTTAACTTTCTACAACTGATCCTAACATGGTTACATAGCTGACATGAACAAATATGCATATATTTTGTAATGTTTGGAATCAAAAGTTGACATTGTTAGGCTGACATGGTACCTATAGTGAATCTGTAAGGCTCAGTTTTGATTGTGTGCACTTAAAATATCCCAAGATGTTATTTTCATCATGAATATGCCTCTGTATGGTAACACATTTCAATTTAGTACTTTGACAGAGGGCGGTATTGCAGCATCAGCTGATATTTCATTCCATTGAATCATTGAATCATTGAACTTAAAACCTTGGTAGCCAAGACTCTTAAAAATAGACTAAAAATATTCAAACAGATTATTTGAATCATGTTTGCACATGTGATTTTAACAAGTACATTGCATATGTCCCACACATGCAAATATCCATCCTTGTTTACAAGTTTTCGGGATGCAAATTTCACATTTAGTTGATGATATAGGATCTATTGGTACCTATAGTTGATCTGTGTGGCCACATTTTGCTATATTCACTCACAATATCTAAAATTGTTTTTTCCTTCATGAATAGGATTGCATATAGTAATAAATTTTAATTTGGTACATTGTCATTTGACTTTCCACTATACTGGTATGTATCAATGTTTGCACCAATGATCAAACCTCACCGTTCCAACATTGCTTTAAACTTTATGATACATACTCT